CAAATTCTGCTTACATCTGATAGCATATGGACTCAAACATATGGGTTGAAAGTCCATTTCCCCCTTCTGCGTGGTTTCAGCTCATCTCTCTGCAAACAAACCTCACATTTTCCCTGTTCTGGTTGATTTTTGCAAAACTGGTGTTGTAGCAATTTTAAGGCCTTTCTTCCTGGGGAGCAGGTACTCGCACCTCAGCCGGTCAGGGCATAAATAGCTGTCATCTGGTAGTAGCACCACAGTTAGTGATTAAGAGGTATTTGCAGCAGGAGTTCAGCAGAAATTCGGCGGATGACAGAGTTTAGCTTGTAAGTTAACGCACATGCTTTGTTGAGAAATTTGTGACAGAAGTATGAGAGAATCCTTTCTTGCAATGAGCAAAGTAGGTTAAAAATAGCATTAAGATGAACATCACAGCAAAGTGGACAAGGGAGAGTTAATTACAAGATATCCAGGCAAAAATCTTTTATCCCTAGGGGATGTAGAGAAATTCATATCCTTCTTTCTTAAACATGGCTGGATTGGAGACTGGTAGAGAATCAAAAGCAGGTAGGATATCCTGAAGCAGTAAGCCTAGGATTTTTTTCTTCGCTTCTTTTTTCACATCTCGCCACGCTCCTTTCCATCAGGTTTTGATCACAGGTTCTCATTTGTCTGCAATTCCTTTTCTATCTTTGATCAATGTTTGTCTTTAATCTCCACGATTCTGTCTTCTCTATTCTTTTGTCTCCAGTCTATGTCTATTATATTTCTCCTTTTTTTCTGTGCTATTATTTGCCTTCCAGTGGGTCTTTCTTCTCATTTCATTGTACTCTATCTCTGTCCAAAATGGTGTACCGGGTGTGAACAATAAATGAATTGATTTCAAATGAGTTGACAACACTGCTTAGCCAGTCCGTATCATACAAAATAGCCCACTGAGTGAGTACAATGAGTGACTCAAATCAAAATGAATTCACACGGATGCTTGGAAAATCCATATGGAAGGCTGGGGGGCCGTGGCTCAGAATGGGTTTGTGTAACCGGAGTTTTAAGGAAATCCTTTTTAAGTAGTAGAAGGAAATCCATGCCCGCCTTTTCCTTCTACTTTGTTATCTTTGGATAAAACAGATTAGCGAGTGTGTAATTGATTAGTTAATGAGTAAGAGTGGGCCCTGAAGACTGGTTACCAAAGGCATGAGGAATGATTAGAGACTGTAACAATGTAACAATAATGCAAAATTTTAAAAATGCATTCTTGCCTCCTGTAGAAAATCTTAAAACTGTGAAAATGAAAGCCAGCTTCTAGCATAGGTTGCTAGACTGTTCCTCAGAGACGATGCTACTGTATTACTGCTGTATGACTTATACATGTGAGTTGAAAGGAAATATAAATAACCAGGAAGAAAAGACTAAGAATTGAAAAAGCTTGACAGAAACTCCTTTGTGTCATGTTCCCAATCTAGGGTTTGTCACAGGCTTAGTCCTAATAATTCCAGCCATTGAGCTAAAAGTGTTATCCAAAGGATCATGTCTGAATTTAAATTAGTTTTTCGGTGATTATTTTTTGAGTGGCTCCATCAAATATATATAAAACTAGGGGAAAGGCCTTTTTGTTTTTAAACGCAAGTGCTCTTTCCATAGCATGCCAGAACCTGACATTTCTTTGAAGCTTTTCTAAATTTCAAAGGAGTTAATATATTTAAAACATCCAAAAGTCTCTCTTTAATTATTTTTGATGTGATACTTCTCAGGAAACATTAAATGAAAGCATTTTCTGCCCGATCTTAATTGAGAAGACTCTTATCTCCTTCTGTAATTACTGATGAACAAGATTTCTACATGGATTAAATTGCATAGTCTCACAAACTGGAACAGGCTTATTTTCTTGTCTTTCATAACACTTTTCTAAAGCTCTGCAGTGTCTCCATCCCCATGTAAACACTTTATTTACAGCTGTCTGCAGCTGTATTACACTGACTGGTATATAATTACTTTTATTTCTGCAGATTATAGCTACCTTAGATATTCAGAGACGATATATAAGCGTAATTACTGCAAGTGGAGAATATTACCATGGTGATTCCACGAGACTTACAGGAAAGATCCTCAGGAATGTACTGAGTCCAGAAGTATTTACCTCAACCGAGGTAAAGCACAGTGACTCAGGCAAATCCATTTATGATCACAGCCACGTCTGTGATTTTAAACACTTAAAACAAATTTGAAACGCGTTACTTATGCTTACTTTTTAACTTCTCCTGTTGTCTGGGTCTTTTTTTGCTGTCAGATGTGACCTTTGGGTAAGTGATTTTCATCATGATAATTGCAAAACAGAAATTATTTTCTGCTCATGGGAATTTTTACTTTTTTTTTTTGAAAAGTGGGTCAAGTGCATGCAGAACGACCACACCTCCTGGCCTTTCCCAGTTGTGTTCCTGGGGTAGCATGTTGGGTTTTTTACTCTCCTAATCCTGCGAACTCTTAGAAGCATATCCAGGATTTTTCAAAACAATATAAAATTGTTATCAAATAAACTGGTTTATGAGTCTCTATATATCATAACACAGGCAAATATTTGGAGTTGCAGACTGATAATATTTTCAGCAAAAATGAAGGTAACCCACTAGACACGTGACTCATTTCCCTCTAGCTCTAGGCACAGACATACAGCCTCCTTTAATGTCAGGTGTCCTTAAGTGGGTCAATAGCAATGCTAAGAAAGAAAAAAAAAGTAATTAAATAAAATAGGGAATTAAAAAAGCATGATAATTCCAGTTGAAAGGTAAAAAAGATACTAATAAATGACACAGATTTTCTAATAGTTACTGGAATATAACTAAAAAACATCGTTGTATGTCATTCCAGTGCAGTATCTCTAATATCACAGAGCCTGCGAGTATTGTGGAGATGTGGTGTTACTTATTCAGAGGGAGCTGTGCCATCCAGTGAGTTGCCTTTGCTGACCACTGGTGATAATAAAGGGAAAAAAATGCCTCCAAACCTAGAAAACAGTTCAGCTCACTTTATGGGTTCTTTACTGTCTTTCATAGCTCTGATCAGTAAGGTGTAACTGAGTTGGCA